GTTAAAAGTCCTTTCATTTGATATTTTGAAATCGGCCAAAAATTATGATTTAAAAAAAAGTGATTTAAAACAAATTCATTTTTTGGACCATCCTAACATTGAAATGGTCACCCTAATGACAAAATAAAAAATATACTGGTCCAAAATTTTGTGGTAAAAAACAAAACTACAAATTTTTACAATATGGCTGCATTAGTGCATGAACCTTAGTAGATCTGAAAAAGATTGTTTTATGAAATTTTGTTCTCCACAACTTTGTCGAAGGCAAATCTTTCCTTTTTTTTGAGATATTTGAAAATTATTCTGGTTTGACAGCTTTGTTGCTATCTTCATCGAAATAATGATAGGTAAATATGCACGCTATTGATCCTTATGATTATTAACGTCCAGAGTACATTTCTGGAACCAAAACGATTTATGAAAGGAAAGTACATTTCGATCATTACATATTAATGCAAAAACTTGGATGATTATTTCTAGGAAATATTTTTTTAGTACATCAAGCATTGAAAACTAATGAATCAACAAATTTAGCTGCAGAAAATCAGGCTGATTAAGCTTTTAACCTACCCGGAACTATCCACCTACCCTCTTCTAAAGATCATTCTCTAGCTAATAAATCATCACACTAAAGCTTCATGTTAGCATTTCCAACCAACTCTGAAAATCGTTAACTTCGCGTATGAAGTAACATAAAAACACTTTGAATGTAACAACTCAAGGCGGGAGTAGCCGTCAACAATGCTGATGATGGTACAGCACGCAACAACCACCCTACTGCTTCCTCTCTGAGATGATCACGTTGGTCATGACGAGAGGAGCAACACAATAGTTGGGTAAAGAAGAACTGCATTATAACACACCATCGACTGGAAATGCTCTCGCAAAACGTGGGGCTTTAGGTAGTGATGAAAACGTCGCTAGAACTATTCCACAGCCGCAGTCAGTTTATGAGCAACAAGAGGGACGCACATTTTTGCCTGTGGACTTGGAGACATACTTCAAGTCCCCGCGTACATCGTACGGGCTAGGCAAAAATGTGCGTCATCTTGAAAAACTGTCGCTTTAATGGCCCTTCGCTCATTTTCAACTTCTATTCAATTTTCATACTGCCGTACTCTAACGGAACTATCCACCTACCCTCTTCTAAAGATCATTCTCTAGCTAATAAATCATCACACTAAAGCTTCATGTTAGCATTTCCAACCAAAGATGCAGCCTCATTGATTTTAACCGCGAAAGTTTTACTATCCGCCCATAGTGTGGCACAGTTAAGTTAGCGATTTACATTGTGTTAAGCATTTATCTGCTGTGTCATATTAGCTTATTTTGTTTTAATTTCCTTGAAATAGTCTTCTTAATTAACAAAGGAACCATTTGATCCTCCAGTTTATACGTAGAGGAAGAATTTTTAACATTTGTGGTCGATTGGATTGTGCCTCCATCATGTTCTATTCTATTCAATGCACAGAGATTGATGCCTGTATATCATATGATCAAAGAAAGATAAACCTGTCTATTTGAGTTTTAGGTGAATAGTCGAAAAGTTTGTTTATCATATCCCATGGATTTTATGGTCTAAGAGAAAAAAATTCTACATTAAATAATCGATCGTATTAATAAACTCAAGCGATGAAAATAAAAACGAAAGAATTAAACGATGTTGATCCACCCCGTCTGTAACACACCGACGAATATTATCACCTGATTCATTCTGCTCAATAGACATCTCTGATTGCTTAAGTGTGCTACAATGGGTAGTTCTGGATATGGGTATGGTTAATCACAACCCAATGTTCCCTACTGCTCTTCCAAAGTGTATTGAGGTCTCCAACAACGGTTTTCTGGTAGAATTTTAAATTTTGTCCCATACGAAACGAATCTATTCATTTCTCGAGCAAAGTAAAATAACAACGTGATATCATTCTGAAAACAAGTTTTGTTATTCCAGATATCAATTTGTTTCCAGTTGTTATCACATAACTAATTTAGTTATAAACCTCGACTAATTTTGTTATCAGTTGTTATCATGGAAGAATACGAAATGTTGCAAGGTTAGCTCAAAACTTCCAATATTATCCGCATGGCAAGAAATAAAAACACTGCCAATCATATTTAATTTATCAGTGTGAGGCTGTTATGCCAAACCGATAAAATAATTTGAAATTTGTTGAAGAAAATAGCATGGTTTGTTTTTAAGATGTTTTTAATGATAACTAAATCAGTTATTTTTTTGATATCCAAGGAGTATTCTTTTGTTATAATATTTGTTATTTTGACTGTTTATTCAACCACAATGATAACATGGTATAAAATTCAAATATTACTCAAATTTCACCAAGTCTCGCAAATAGATTGGAAATACTATGCAGGCGAATTTTTTCGTAGACTGCACATCGATTAGACATCTGAAAAATAAAAGTTATTTTCATATTAATTTAGACCTATTGCTTCGTGTATACCTATATCCCTAATAAAAATAACCATAAAAGAGAGCTTAACGACGTGTTCGGGGTATCATCCAAACCATTTGTGGGATAGTTTACCCATCCATGATACAGTTCATTTATGGTATTCGTTTATTAGGGATGCGTTTATATGAGCTGTACACGTAAAACAAAAATCAATTACATTGAATGCACTTCCTATCATCCTCCGCAGCCGAATGGTATAAGTTGACCTCGCAGACGATGTAATGGTTTTTTGTCTTTTTATTTCGTGTTCTGTCTATAGAGTTCTCTACCACCGTTAGTATAAGTGAGAAGTTTCACTAATACATGCATTTTACTGGTGGAAAATAAAAAAACAAACCGCTGTCAAGTCGAACACTTTGACAGCTGATTTCGTGGTTGAAAATAATAAACAAATCGATTTTACACAGCTACGCTCGCTAGGTTGTATTAGTGAGATCTTGCGTCGAGAAGTCAATGCTTTCGACTATACCACCAAGGTTTTTATTTATAACATTGTACAACGACGCACACACTTGCCTTCGATACTCTCCAATTTTCGTTCAGCAGTAAAAGCATGTAGAATGAAATTATCGTGCTATGAGCGCTTCTGGTCTGATAATTGCAACGTTCGTGGTTCGAGTCTCAGTCGGCAACCTTCTTTTTTTTCGGCATGATTATTTCAATCACACTCCACATTTTTCTTTCTCCATTTTCTTGCATTGAACCGCAGCTCGGTATATAGCATCCTCCGTTCATGCGGTCTCCACAGACAACCTCCGATGATGAATCCCACATAATTGTAAGCGAATCTTACATCCCCCGATTGGGTGTAGGGTACGTGTGGGACCATTGGCCTATAGTTAATGATTACCAGCTTTTTGTACAAAGATCAAATAAATTTTCAGTCTTCGACAAAGTTGTTTTTTCATAGTATTCCAAATATAATCCTGAGATTTGGTGAAATTTGAGCAATATTAGAATTTTTGGTAAGTGAATGAATAAGATCGTTCCATTTCCCATACAATTTTTCATACTAAATTTAAAGTTTTCCCGTGAATCGAGTTACATCTAAATTCGTTCAAATTTTGCACGAATTAAAAAAGCAGTGGATAACAGGGGGTTATTAAGTTGATCCACCTTAGTGTACATAGGATTTTTTGTCTTGCATTTCTACTAAAAGCTACCCGTTTTAGCAATCAACAAGGTCTATTCTGTCTCCATCGTCATCGCTCATGTTAGAGGAACATCATAAATCAACCGTTCAGATTCATAAGGAACTATCAGCAACAAATTCGATAAAAATTCGAACAATCGTGTCTTACAACCCGTTTGAAGAGTGTATTTGCCCCTTAATGGATTCTACGATACAACCACTCCACTCACCATACAGCGTTGCACAAACCCAACCCAGCTGTGCAACCATTATTGTAGTATGTGGTTGTCCCATGATGGGGCCAATAAACACTGCATCCTGGTTGCAAGATTTGGTTGTTCGACTTGTAGTCGAATCTTCGTTCAACCATTTCGGCAACCTGATGAAGTTTGTGCGACTTTCCCACACACAGTGCAGTCCAGTCCGTTGGTCGATATGCCCGTCAACCTGACACAGGTTTCAAAATTGAATTCCATCCGGTCTCGCTGAACGGTGCTTATTCAATTACAATGTGTGGTGAGTGGTGGTGTCCGGTCGTCATCAGCAGCAGCAGCAGTGCTTATGGCGCGTGGCGTTTTACATTTTTACACTTCCACAGCTATTAATTGAGAGTTGTCTATACCAGCCAACGCATAAACTTGTATATTGGTGGCAATCGACCGGACAGGGAATCGAACCCGCCACATCCAGCTTGGTAAAACCGTTTTTATATTGACTACCCTAATAAAATGTTTATGGTTATTTTGCTTAACGACGTATTCGGGTTATCATCCAAACCATTTGTGGCATAGTTCTATCATTTGGGTTATCGTTCGTTTACAGTTTTTTTTTATTAGGGTAGGCCTCCCGAGCAAAGTAAAATATTAAATTGATAACAAGTTCTATTACCCGGTTATCACTTTTTGATAACTGAATATGTTATCATTATGTTTGAATTAACAGCCAACATAACAAAAATGATAACAGAAAATTACTCGTTGGATATCACAAAAATAACTCATTTTGTTATCATTAATAATATCTTGATAACAAACTATGTAAGCCATACCAATTTATTCCATAAATTTCAAATCATGTTATCATTTTGATATCAAAGCCTTACGCTGATAACTGAAATATGATTAGGGATGAATAGCAGTATTTTTTTATTGTTTCAATGCGAATAATATTTAAAGTTTTGAACTAATCTTGCATCGTTAATAAATATATAGTGAATTTTTCATGATAACAACTGATAACAAAATTGATCAAGGCTGATAACTAAATAAGTTGTGCGATAACAACTGAAAACAAAATGATATCTGGGATAACAAGACTTGTTATCTAGATGATATCGGGTTGTTATTCTACTTTGCTCGGGCTATGTCTCATGCCTCAGAATCATGATAACTTGATTAAATCATTGAATTCGGTCTTACGTTCTTCGGTCTAACGTCCTTCGCTCTAGCGTGCTTTGGTCTAACGTCCTTCGGTCTAACGTCCTTGGGTTTAACATTCTTCGGTCTAACGTCCTTCGGTGCAACGGTCTTTGGTTTAACGTTCTTCCGTTTAACGTCCTTGGGTCTAACGTCCTTGGGTCTAACGTCCTTGGGTCTAACGTCCTTGGGTCTAACGTCCTTGGGTCTAACGTCCTTGGGTCTAACGTCCTTGGGTCTAACGTCCTTGGGTCTAACGTCCTTGGGTCTAACGTCCTTGGGTCTAACGTCCTTGGGTCTAACGTCCTTGGGTCTAACGTCCTTGGGTCTAACGTCCTTGGGTCTAACGTCCTTGGGTCTAACGTCCTTGGGTCTAACGTCCTTGGGTCTAACGTCCTTGGGTCTAACGTCCTTGGGTCTAACGTCCTTGGGTCTAACGTCCTTGGGTATAACGTCCTTGGGTCTAACGTCCTTGGGTCTAACGTCCTTGGGTCTAACGTCCTTGGGTCTAACGTCCTTGGGTCTAACGTCCTTGGGTCTAACGTCCTTGGGTCTAACGTCCTTGGGTCTAACGTCCTTCGGTCTAACGTCCTTGGGTCTAACGTCATTGGGTCTAACGTCCTTGGGTCTAACGTCCTTGGGTCTAACGTCCTTGGGTCTAACGTCCTTGGGTCTAACGTCCTTGGGTCTAACGTCCTTCGGTCTAACGTACTTGAGTCTAACGTCCTTGGGTCTAACGTCCTTAGGTCTAACGTCCTTGGGTCTAACGTCTTTGGGTCTAACGTCCTTGGCTCTAACGTCCTTGGGTCTAACGTCCTTGGGTCTAACGTCCTTGGGTCTAACGTCCTTGAGTCTAACGTCCTTGGGTCTAACGTCCTTGGGTCTAACGTCCTTGGGTCTAACGTCCTTGGGTCTAACGTCCTTGGGTCTAACGTCCTTGGGTCTAACGTTCTTGGGTCTAACGTCCTTCGGTCTAACGTTCTTGGGTCTAACGTCCTTCGGTCTAACGTCCTTCGGTCTAACGTCCTTCGGTCTAACGTCCTTCGGTCTAACGTCCTTCGGTCTAACGTCCTTCGGTCTAACGTCCTTCGGTCTAACGTCCTTCGGTCTAACGTCCTTCGGTCTAACGTCCTTCGGTCTAACGTCCTTCGGTCTAACGTCCTTGGGTCTAACGTCCTTGGGTCTAACGTCCTTTGGCTTAAACTTCCTAGTGCTTTGGGGTCTTTTTTGACCCGGCATCACTTTAAAAAAGCTGTAACCTTGTCACAAAATATGATAGAGACCTGAAATTTCGTGACTTTTCCTAACTTTCGGAAACGAACATTTTGCTTTCAGTGACCTCTAAGCGAGGTGCTTAGAACAAAAGTGACACATTGGGCATTAGGGGGTCGAAAAAGACCCAAACTGTAATAGAATAAATAGACATCTTGCCAAGGTGGATCTAACCACCAATTTAAGATTTGTTATCCACATATTTACTTGTGACATCATGCCATGGACGAACACGTGAAGCTGATCAAATATGGATACCCCGAAACCGGTTCTGGCAGGACCCCAAAAAGAACACTTCCAAAACCTTATGTACTGGTACCCAATCATGAACGATCATTTACATTTATTTCGTGCATTCATTTACATTCATTTGCCTCTAACTTTTTTCATCAACAGAATTCCGTAAAATCATGTTTGATGCTTTTGTAGGTTTTAGTATTAACTACAACTATTGTAAGAAACTCAAATCTGTATCTCATATACATGACGATGTAGAGCGAGCAAAATTGTTATTGTTTTTTAGTGAATGTAATTTGCATGCACTCAAAAATAATGGTGGGTGCTGTTCGCTCTGGTTCATAATGCATACGATGTACAGATGTAAGATGTTGACAAAAGCAGAGACGTTGATAAAAACGCGCAAAGAAAATTTCTGTTAAAACAGCAGCACGGTTTTTGAGGGATCTTTTGGCAATGTCACTGGCAACCATGTTTCTTCGAGTGGCTTCAAATGACTTTCATACAGTGCCGCAATGTTGTTGAGAAAATTTGAACGTTTCGAAATATTTCGTTAAAATAATTAAACACTTTTTTCATCATTTAGAACGAACCAATTGTTCGTTTGGTTCTTCTGGCTTCAGTCTATGCGTGTCTCTATTCAAAGTCTTTGGGACAAAAGCTGTAGCTACAAAAGCTTCATTCATCATTTTATGGAATACTGTTGATGAAAAAAGTTAGAGGCAAATGAATGTAAATGAATACACGAAATGAATGTAAGTTATTGTTCATAATTAGGTTTTGCACCGTCGGGGTTAACATCAATCTGATGACAGTTCAGTGGTACTGTTTACGTGGACTTAGTCGATTTTTTCTTGGGTAGATTTTCTGGATAATTTTTCAGATTGCAGTGAGACGTAAACCACACTTTTGCAATGTCCACGAGCAACATCCTTTCACCACGCATTTCCTCGACAATTTTAAAGTTAAAATTCGGAAATTTTAAAATACAGATTTTTCCAAAAAAAGACTAAGTTCTTGTAAACAGTACCACTGAACTGTCAAAAAGGTTCAGCCGATTAACACTGAGTTCATTTGTGACGGCACGCTGCAGTACCTAATTGGGTACCAGTACATGAGGTTTTGGAAGTGTTCTTTTTAAGGCCCTTCCAGAACTGCTTTCGGGGTATCCAGATGTGGCCAGATTCACTTGTTGGTAAATGGCATGATGCCTATTTACTTCTAGATGAAACATCATACATTTTAAGCCGTTGGACGGCATGCTTGGCATGCACAGCTGTACACACCAACTGCTCATTTGTTAATAACTTTTCACTCTGTTGTTGAAATTTGTTTTTCTTTAAAGTAATTGATAGATTACGATCATAGCTTACCATATATATACAAAGAGTAGGTAAATCTTAACATTTGAATCAACGCCAATGAATGTTTACACTTAAAGTCCGAGATGTGTAGCGAGCATTTCTCACTTAATTTTTACAACGCAAAAACAAATACAGTTTATTACTAGAATTAAAATCAATTTTTTTTTTCGTATCTATAACAAGCTTAAGCCCTATTCTATCTATTGGTTCAAAGAGAACTATGTTTCGTCAACTGTGTGCAAATTTATTAGCAAATGAGCAGTTCGTTACCAAAACTGTGTATGCCAAGCATGTTGGACGGTACCAGTATATAAGGTTTTGGAAGTGTCATTTTTGGTTCACGTCTATTTTCTTGTGGATGAAAAATCATAAATTTTGAGTCGTCGGACGGTACGACTACATGAGGTTTTAAATTTTCCTTTTTGGGCCCTTTCGGAACCGTTTCCAGATGATGGAAATGGTCAAATTGATCAAAACCAGGTTAGGGTGCCATTCTAGGTACTTTTGCCTTTCATTTGAGGCCAATAGATCAAAGATCGGTTCAAAAACTGATTTTTGGGAGCAAACCCAAGTAACATTGCAAGTTTTATAGTGGTTTTAAAGCATTCTACAAGTCTAAATCATGGTCTACAGAATCCTCAAAAATCCAAAATTGTTACTTGGGAATTGCAGTTTGGGTCTTTTTGACCCGGTATTGCACAAGGTTTAACTTTTTCCTAATGCATTAGGAATGTTAACGTTCATCAACCTTACGTCCTTTGATTTAACGTGCTTGGCTTAAAGTCCTTTAGCCCAACGACCTTTGGACAACTGGTTTTTGACCTATTTTCCTTTGACCTATTTTCCTATGACCTATTTTCCTTTAGCTTACCGTCCTTTGGCCTATCGTACTTTGGCCTATCGTACTTTGGCCTATCGTACTTTGGCCTATAGTCCTTTGGCCTATCGTCCTTTAGTCTATCGTTCTTTTGCCTATCGTCCTTTGGGCTATATACCTTTGGCCTATCGTCCTGTGGCCTATCATACTTTGGCCTATCATCCTTTGGCCTATCATCCTTTGGCCTATCGTCCTGAGGCCTGCCATCCTTTGGCCTTTCGTTCTTTGACCAACCGTTCTTTGGCCTATCGTCCTTTGGCGTATTGTTCTTTGGCCAAATGTACTTTGACCTATCGTCGTTTGATCTATCGTCCTTAGGTCTATCGATCCTTTTGGCCTATACTCCTTTGGATTTTCGTCGTTTATCATAATGTCGTAAGTTTAATGTCCATTGGCCTAAAGTTCTTCGATCTAATGTCCTTTGACCTTATACATACTTAGTCTCTCAGTTTCAATCTGATACGATGTTGGTGACTAAACAAACGTAGTTGACCAGGTTTTTCATGTAATGAATCATACTAGTCTAGAAATCAGGGTCATTTATAGCGATAGACAATATAACACACAAATCTCCCGAAGTGCGCTCTGAGTGGTGCCGTCTTAACACTAGTATTTCTCGACTATTTTCCTACCGATTGCACTCTTTGAAAGTGATTAGCTTCAACCAACAGAAAAAGACAGCCGAGGAAAAGCGGCGGGTTGATGGCACCACCCACTGTGCTCTTTTTGAAAGGGTGCCGAATTAGCACCGGTTGCTGATGATAGTCCAACTTACATGAGAAGTTTGTGTGCTGTGACAATATTTTTCAACTATTTTATCGGTTGAAATTAGTGTTTCCTACCCGGAACATCCTGAGAAATTTGATCCAATTTCCCGAAAAAAAAACCTTTAAAAGTATTTTTGGGGGAAAAATATAAACACTTTGCCAGAAAAGTAATAAAAAACATCTAAGGAGAAAGTATCCAGAAGAAGTCTAAAGATCTTCTAACGGAAATCGGAAGAATGCTCTAGGTAAAGTGAAAGGAATTTTCTAAGTGAAGCCAGAAGAAATTTCTGGGGGAGTCTAGAAAAAATTTCCGAGGAAATCTGAAGCCATTTTCGACAAAGGAACTTCCAATGATATTGTTTAGAAACCTGCTGAAGAAGTTGGGATGAACCTCCCAGTGCAAACCAAAAGAAGCTACCGCAGAAGCTTGAAGGACTTCTGTAAGATGCTTCTGAAGAAATCAGATGACTATTCCTAGGGAAATCGGAAGATACTTCTGGGAGAATTCGGTAATATCGTGTGGGCAAAGAAAAATACCCCAGATGAAGTCGAAAGAAAAATCATTGGTAGCTTGGTAGAATTTCCCGATGGAAGTAAACATATTAAACCTAGGAGGTTAAACAATTTTCTATATTATAAAACGCTGTACATAAGTTAAGACATAAACCTTTTGATAAGTAAATGCCATGACTTTGTCTTATTATCTTTTTGGACATTGAACAAACATATTTCCCGTTTCCCAAGAATTCCCGGGAAGAGCCATCAGCAGTTTTCCGTTTCCCGGGAAGCAAACATGGGCGAGAAATGGAAATACTAATTGGTATAGAGCACCCAGCAGTAAACACATTTTGTTTACTGTAATCAATATTCCGAAAAAAAATGCTCATAAATAGTAATTAACACCAGCAGTACTGACGCTGCTAAGATTGACTAGAATACGAAAAATCCCGTATTAATTTTATGTTTTTGGTTTTCCAATATGGTTAGTGAGTTACTGTAGTAGCTGAGATATTTAGGCTATGTCAGATTTTGAAATAGGAAAAATTATAGCGTTAATAATACGCCTGGTAGATTACCTTTTCGTGGTGCGTTACTGGCATTAAGATCTACATCCGAAGCCTTGTCTGAACTACTTCAAATTAGGGGAACAGGATTGTTTTTGTAGTCAAAGGAACACATCTTAACCCTTTTTACTTTATATGCCTTGTTGATAGTGACAAGACTCGGCATGGTCCACCGAGGATGATCTTGAAACAAGGAAAACAGGATTTAAGTAGTTATTTTTCATCTACGTGATTCCTAATATTTTATTCGCTGTTCTCTAGTTTGAAGTGGTTAAGACTAGGATTCTGATGCATGGTCATCATCGGTGTTATTGCTTAATTTTTTTTTGCGAAGTAATCCGCTTTTGACTGATAAAGGGGCGCACCTTTGGAGGGTGTTCCAACACTCCGAAGGGTATAAATAGCGGGACCTTTCAATTAGAGTCGGATCCTTGCGATAAAGGAAAGAATGACAACTGTGGATTTATGTCCCAAATAGAGGAAAAAATAATGATCGAAAGCGTCAAAGGTATTGCAAAAAAAAAAAAAAGAGTTTTTGACGTAAACAAATAAATAAATTGAAAATTGCTTAAATATGCTACCTAGTGATTTAGGTAATTTGGAATCTGCAATAATTATTTTTAAATTAATACCAAAGATGTGTTGGGTGCAGTGCTACAAAATTTCGACAATACACGGTGATACCCAAAATTCTGCTTTGGTCACTCGTTTGAGCTAACAGTCATCGTCAAGGCAAACCATGTCAATTGTCAGTACCATTTTTGTCAGTGACGAACATGTGCTGTTTTGATTATAAGCTAAATTTGAAATGAAATTAAATGGCTTAAGCAAAACAATTACATGGAGCCATTAAAGTGAATAAGGATCTACGTCCTGAACCGCTTGGATAACAATAATGTGTCTCAGAATGCAAGAAATTACACTTTCTGTTACCAGGTGAATCTTTGTCATTGACGAAAAAATGAATGAGATTTTGACAAAGATTTTTTTGAGGATCAAGTCTATCATTGACTATGTGAAAAACAATTTTGTCAATATCGTGCAAAAGTCTGTCAATGACAATGACAAATCTCAGCGCTGGTTGGGTGTGCATAACTTTTACTGTATTTTAAAAAATATGATAGGAAAATATGTTATAACATTTTAAAATTTGCTATGGAAATCTGTGATATCATTTTGATAGGTCACATGTTCGCGAAAATCGGTGCTTGTTATAGAACGGGCAATAATCTACATGAAAATTAAGTTGGATATTCCATAAACTTCTGATGTTCTCGAGTTTTGTGCCAATAAGGATTAAAAGTTTATACAATTTTAATCATTCCAGTAATTTGACCTTTTCTTTCACATTTCTATGTCCTATGCCAAGCGCTTGCACCAACCAACCGTACAAGTTATAATCTCGCTTCTCCGTTGCTGGTCCTGATCTATCTTCAGCATAATTTCCCTTGTACTCATCAATCATTGTTTGTCCTCTTGCAATCCAATAAGCCATTATGCTCCGGAATGGAAATTCGGTAGGTAGATGATGAGTAGAAAATAACTAGCAAACTAGCGAAAAAAACGAACAGACCCAGCTCAGCAGAATCTCGTAATCGTTTGCCGTGAAATTGAACTGAACAAGAGCTTTAAAATCGCTTTTCTCTCATTTTCCACTTTTAGCATACCTACCTTGCATCCCACCCGGCGGCGTTATGCTGTGAGTGCCACGTGTAGGGTTTCCAATCGAATCAACGAAAATTAAAGTCCCAGCTTTCGGCCATCGATACAGGAGATTTCGCCGGCTTCTGATTCCACAGAATAATAAATCCAATGCTATACCGGAAGGATGAACAAGGTATTCTTCCGACGAGGATATGGTTTCGGAATGGGAAATGAAATTATATGCTCTCTTTTTGATGCTGAAATTATACACTTGTGTGGTTTAAAGTGGACGAGCACCAATATACAACCTTCTACGTAATCGAGTCATCAATTAGTATAATAATTGTGTGTGTTTCCTGCATGAATTGCCTTCGATAATGATTGTTTTAGTCTGCAATGCACCGTCGTAATTGATTAGTTCGTTCGTTCGTTATACATATGCTTTCAGTTTGAAGCGTTTTAGCTTTGGTGGAGTTAATTTGCTAGAGTTTTTCATTTACTTGCTAGTACTAACGCTTACTTTGGTATAGTTATCTTATAATCTTAATACTGTAGTATATATGTTGTTGAACCCTGCTTTCTGTTATACATGTTTGGTTATAGTTTCATAGGATCATCTATCTCATTTCAATAGGTATTTATGTATATCATACGAGCTAACACTGTTGTTCTACTAAATTCTCTCTTTTTGGCTAGCTATAAATCATTGCGATCTCTTTCATAGCATCCCTGGTTTTAGGAACATCATGCAGATGCTGAAGTGACTGTTCTCCTGTAGTGAAGATTAGTGTATGCTGAGCTTAACTAGAAAAGTTAGTACAGTTGAGCTAACGAAACTGGACAGAATACTGAAAATGACTCTTGATGAATCTGTAAAGAGATGCGGGATAAGAAAGATATTTGAATTAAAAAGGTACGATACCTAGCAGAATGAGATCTAAATTGTACGAATCGGTTCAAACAAGATGGATAACATGATATTTACGAATAATGCAGGTGCAATAACCCATTACACTAGAAATACTCAGAGGGAGAGATGGGCCGAGAAAATGAAATACAATTCGGCAGCAGGAATTTGTACCTAAATTATCTTGCAACCTTTGCTAAAAGCCCGCATTTCGCATAATTTTTTACCTTTGATTCGATCTACGTGATAATAATTAAATGCATCGCAAAATTTTGCACATTTCTTGATGCCATTAATTAATCAACTAAGATCAATGAATATTGTTTTTGATTCCAAAAAACTAGTTGCATTTGAGAAGAACACGAAACATAAAGGTGATTGAATTTCTGTTCGATTGCAATACTCTCAAATTTAATCTACTACGAATAAGAAATCCTCGGAAAAATTCTAATGGGAATGTTCTATTGGCTCAGATTTTGACAGTTCATTCGGCTCAAAACATTCTCTCAGCCCATCTCTACCTCTGTGTATTTCTAGTTTACACCACAGCGTATACAGTTAGGAATCCTTATTGCCGGATTCCTTATTGCCGGATTCCTAATTGCCGGTATGCCGGGCTATCCGCGAATAAGGGTATCAGCTTATGGGATTTTCACTAATAGGGTGGATTATCTCATTTGTTTCAATATATAGAGCTATACTACCAACAAGCATGTGTCATTGGATTCAGGTTTAATTGGGAACTACGCCGCTAGAGGCGCTTCACTATTATGTTACTTATGACGGGCGCTATAATATATGGATCATAGGTTCAACATAGAATATTTCGTGATCCTGGCCATATAGAAAATTACTGTCTTCAGCAAAGTTGTTCAAGTGACCAAGTCTTTTCGGATGGTGGCCATATTAGTTCAGAACTCTCTCACTACGCAGCACTAGTGTGCATATGAGCTTGCTATATAAGCTGTATTACGAGAACCTGGTCATATAAAAGGTTACTATCTTCAGCATTGTGGAGCCTCATAGCCTAGTCAGTAAAGGCACGGTATTACCAAGCCGGAGGCAACGGGTTCGATTCCCGGTCCGGTCGAGGGAATCTTTCGGGTTGGAAATTTTCTCGACTTCCCTGGGCAATAGAGTATCATTGTGCTTGCCACACAATATACAAATTCATGCATTGGTATTGGCATCGAAAGCTCTCAATTAATAACTGTGGAAGTGCATTTAAGAACACTAAGTTGAGAGCACGCAATAAGCTAATATGCACTAAGCAATAAGCTTCGGCTATCTGATCTCTACACGCCGTTTTCTATCAAAAATCAATACCCATATTTCGGAATTTGCAGGTTTTTTTTTGGACCGATGCCCGCCAGATTTGATTCCAAAAGGGCGACTTGAATCGATGCCCAGCCTCTACACGTCATCCCCTCTCCGAAAATACCCATATTGTAGGGTATTTGACAGTTTTCCTTGAACCGACATGACATGAATGACATCTGGCATCGATTTCCGGCTGCTACACGTTGCACAGTGGGACGAAATCAAAAAAAGAAGGACATAGCCATTTGCGACGAAACTATTGAGTGTATCATTTTGATGTCTTCTAGAATGTTTCTTCAATTTTTAAATACTTTAGTGAATTTTTTTGCTTAAGATGGGTATACACAAAGATAACAAAATTACTTTTTTATGTCTTGTTGAAATTGATGATCATCTATGAAAACATTGTAGATGAATTCATTTTAAGGAACATTGTGCATGATGTCAATTTTCTATCTCTCAAGTAGACGAAGTTATAGGGTGAAAATGGAGTACTAACGGTAGTACCCCCTTAAAAACCGTTATTTCACCATAACTTTTTAGTTTGAATTTTACAATTTATTTAATGCTCTACAAAGTTGTAAGTGCACATTTTTGCTGTAAAAAACAAATCGCTATCGCTTTGTTGTAAGGATTTAAGTTCCTTTTATAATTTTCTAACGCTATCTGTAAGGGGGTGTATCTTGCATGTTAGGTATTAGCAGCTCAACGTTCATAGGGGGATCCAAGGGGATGCCCAATGAATTTTTTAATATAGTACATAAATGTTTTATTGCGTTTTGCTGTTTTCATGACCATTTTTCCAAGTGTTTACATTAGAGTGGATTTCCCATTTCAGGCATAACATTTGATAACGGCATAAAAGCATTTGTAAACAAACTTTCTAAGGCCCTTTACACGCGAACCAAAGTATGCCCACGCAAACCAATACCACTTTCGGAAAGGTGATAGTTGCGCCTATCCGATGATGTTGTTGGTTTGCGTGGGCGTACTTTGGTTCGCGTGTAAAGGGCCTTAGAAAGTTTGTTTTCAAATGCTTTTGTGCCGTTATCAAATGTTATGCCTGATTTCTTTAAATGCTTATTCTGGTCCCCAACAACTGGGTAAAATTTGAACGGATTTGGTAATAATCTCGATTAACGGAAGAATTTTAAAACGGAATGGGAAACGGAACGATCATATTCATTTGCTTACCAAAAATCCAGATATTGCTCAAATTTCACCAAAACTTTGATTGAGAATACTATACCAATACCAATACTATACTAATCAATCAAGAGGCTGAACGGAATTACGTCGAGTTTAACTGCTAATTCCTGCTAGCCTGCAAAATACACTCCTTTAAAATTAGTGTTGAAAAATGATAAATACGTATGTAAATCCTTTACATGAACAGGTAGCTTAATTGAGCAAAAATGTGCATTTTAAAAGCACTTACAACCTTGTAGAATATTAAAAAAATTGAAAAATTCAAACTAAAAAGCTAAGGTAAAAAAAAAACGGTATCTAAGGGGGTACTAGCGTTAGTACTCCTTTTTTACCCTATAATTTCGTCCACTTGAAAAATAGAAAGCGGATGTCTTCGACAAAGTTTCTTAAAATGACTTCATCTACAATGTTTACATAAATATTCATCAATTTCAACAAGACAAAAAAAAAATTTATTTAACTTAGTGTATACCCCCCTTAATCAAAAATGTTCACTTCTCAATTAAAGTACTCAAAAAGTAAAGACTCATTCTTAAAGAAATCAAAATGCTACACTCAATAGTTTCGTCGCAAATAGCCATGTCCCACTATTTTTGTTATCCTCTCATTGTGCGTCGTCCCCTTTCCGAATATACCCATATTGTAGGGTATTTGACAGTTTTTCTTGAACCAAGGGCCTCCATCTTGGATTTCATAATGGCATCTGGCATCCTTTTCCGGCCTCTACACGTCGTCCCCTTTTCCGAAAATACCCATATTGTAGGGTATTTGACAATTTTTCTTGAACCGATCGCCGCCATCTTGGATTCTAAAATGACGTCTGGCATCTATTTTCGGCCTCTACACGTCATACCCTTTCGGAAAATATTTATATTATAGGGTATTTGACAGTTTTTTTGAACCGATCGCCGCCATCTTGGATTCTAAAATGACGTCTGGAATCGATTTCCGGCCTCTACACGTCATCCCCTTTCCGAAAATACCCATATTGTAGGGTATTTGACAGTTTTTCCTGAACTGATGGTCACCATCTTGGATTTCAAAATGGCGTCTGGCGTCTCCATTGGGTCAACATTTTTCTCAGTGTGCCACAAGTGTGCCGATTGTGCCGGCAGGTCATACAGCATGCTGCGATTTTTTGTAAAATACGAATATGGTATATTTTGCAACCGGGTATTTCTGACAGCTTGAATGTTTCGGTTTTCAATCGCAAGGATAACATAGGACTAGCGACAACCAAGGAGGAATACTGGCGAGATGGACAGCCGTCCAACAGGACACAACAAAAAAAAAAAAAAAACCGGAGAGCAATCGGAAGTGTCCCCGCATTGAAAACCGTTGGATGCGATAATTGAACGGCCCCGAATATGTCGAATATCGTGCTCGATAAGGATTCCTTATACCGACGAATAAAACGCCTCTATGCCAACTGGAAGGAACCAGAGTTTTTCCATGATGATTCTCTGCAGAAGGTGGATTGCATTCTGATGGCGGTCGGCGTAGACGAGGAAACCATCTACATCAAATCCTAGGACAGAACGCGTCAGCTTAAATGTAGCATCCCTGTTGTAGTTTAACGTTTTGTGACACGTAGTCCCGTCCAGTGTTGCCAAAGTTATGGTTTGCTTCGATAAAGAAAAATGACTTTTTTTTGTTGCATTATTTTTAAAACGCGAGATGGGCAGCAATAGTATTTTCAGATAGAGTAGTGGATGTGCTAACAAGAATAGACTTGATAAAAGCGAACCCGTAAAGTCATTCAAAATCTCGTAAAGTCAATCACAAGAAATTTTATGATAATTTAAAGTATCACCAGGAAATCATCATCATCATCATCATTCATCAGCCATGAGTGGCTATTATGTGTAAAATTGTGATTTTTCCTCTGTTGTTATGTGTGTGCATAGGATTAATTTCCTTACTGATATGCATAATTTTACTTGAAACTGCGTAGGTAATTTCAAGCTTAATAAATTGCTGGCGTAGACGGAGAATTTCACTTCGTTGACGTACTTCTATTGGACTTAAATCATTTTATTGATTCGCTAACTGCCCTACACTGTTCTCAGCTGGTTCCATATCCTGCCACTCTTCGTCTAGCCATTCAACAATCACCGGGGTATTCCACGTATTATCCGGATTTATTTTTCCATTCGGAAAATTAATCTAAAACTTTTGGTTACACTTAATCATTTCGCATCAAACAATATTGTATTTATTAATTAATTTTTGTTTGTATTTACTTACGCTGCATAGTCTAATGTGGGGACGAACTTCGAACAACGGCACTTCTTCCTCATTAAAAACGCACGCATATATCCACTCCCGGTGGATGATTGGGTCCTTCGGAAGACGGTAGAAATGAAGCCCTGGATTCGCTTTATCGCTTCTTCTACATCCGATTACCTTGCACTTCATTTTGGAATTTCAAACGGACCAAAATAGAGCAGATTTGTACAAAATGAAAATGATTGAATGTAACCGCTGTTGTTGCTATGCCAATTATGTGTATCATACCAATCTTCTAGCAATACGGCCAAAACAATTACAAACAACCCTGTAGTAGTTTCATCGAGGTTTGCTTGTGTTATTTTCAGCCAATCAGAAAGCGGACTCCATTTGACACCAAATTGGTTTCAAAATTTAACATGAGTTGACGCCACCCAGATCAAATCCACCTCACTGCGGACCTGGCTGCTGGGATACGAGCTGACCGATACGATTACGGTGCTGTGCAAAAAGTCCATCTTTTTCCTGACCAGCAAGAAGAAGATCGACTTCTTGAAGCAAATCGAGAAGGACGGTGAGGAGGGCATTCCGTCGTGGAAGCTGTTGGTTCGGGATAAGAACGACAAAGATAAGGTCAATTTTGAAAAGCTGCTGGAGGCGATCAAAGGATCCAAGGATTTTAAAACGTTGGGCGTCTTCTCCAAGGACAAGAGCTTCGACACGATGGACATCAGCGTGACCTGGACCTGGTGACGGTAAACGTATTCAACAAATACCTCAAGGATCACATCACGGAGATTATCGATGCTGATAATAAAGTAAAGTGACAGTTGTCCAGCAGTGCTCCCATTTTATTAAAAAAAAAATCCTACCAGATTATGCCGAAGGTCGATGGATGTGCCCAAGCTGGAACGAATATAATTTCGGCACAATTAGCTGAGTGACTTACCCGAGTGACTTACCCCTTGTTTTAAGTACAAAGTGATGCAGTCGATAATCGATAAACCCACCAATGATGCCTACAAATATACCGGAAGTTAATCTAGCATTCTAGCGTGCAATCTACTTAAATTAGACAATCCGGATAAGTTTTCATGGCGACCTGACCTTTGAGCGATCCACCTATACTCAACACGTTCAAAGCCGTCAATCAGACCATCTAGTGGGTTAACTGAAACAGATAATTTTGTCCTTAAACGTGCGATAAACAATGTTAGTTATTATCAAACTTCCAAAAAATATTTCATGGTTAAATGCTTGATATTCGGGACAAACCTAGTTCTTTGATATCCATAGAACCTCACAAAAAGGTCAGATAATGAGGTTTATGCATCAGATATACCAGAACCGGTTGTGATTACATAGTAGTGTTAAATATGCCAGAACCTGTACCAGAACGTGTCTCAGAAGAATTTACTAATTACTACTAGATCTTAATTTTATAAAAGTTCGGAGTCTACAATTCAATCAACAGTCTTATTTTGTTCATGCCTACACTCTAACTTTAAAGTACCCATTAATAAGTACAATTTCACTAATTTTGAAGAAAATTAGGTTAACCCATTAAATGGACAAATTACCCATTAATGAGTAACGTTTACCCACTAATGAGTAACAATTACACATTTATGGGTACCAGTTACCCATTAATGGGTAACTTTTTTACCCATTAAATAGGTTAACCTACTTTACATCAAAATGAGTGAAATTGTAATGGGTACTTTACAGTTACAGTGTACGTCTCGATAAGTTGTATTTGTGTAAATCAACTTGACTCCCTAAAGTTCGCCTACGCAAACCGATAACACTATCGGACAGGGGAGAATTTCCTCTACTCCAAGCTGTTGAGCCCTTTTCAAATGTTACGCGAGAAATTGAGAACCTCTCCAATATAATGGATACATGTGTAATGTTCCAAACAGATCCAAACTTACCCCTACTGCTACCGTTGCCACTGGCTGACCAATAGATGACTTTAGAATCGAGTGATTTCTGTTCCGATTTGTCGATTTCGTTCAGGTTGGAGGAATATTTAGAATCTGTTCGGAGAGGCAAAAAGAATCTGAAATTAGAGCTACATAGTAAAGCACTTGACCGAAACACTTTCAACCAGTTTCTAAATTCTCTCAAGTGTAAATTCAATTCAATTAGGTGCTGATGGTTGCAGAGGGATTAGAAAATAGCCAAACAAAAAAGCAACCTAAAAGGGTTGTATCTCGGACTGAAGTTCTCCTATCTAATGATGATTCACGTGTGCTCTTTCCCGGTATGTGAAGTACCATTCAGAGCTTTGGAGTGGAGCTGGTAGTGTACACTTACTTTTATCAACCACGTGTACGGAATACGAATTGGGATGATGCTGACCACCGTTGAGTGTGCCGCCGGGGCCGTTACCGGGATGATACGAGCCGTAGCTATCGTTGCGACCGTTACCGGGCCAGAAGTCGAGCAGTTGAGACTCGGTCGTTGGTGGACCCGGGGATGTCGTTGGTGGTGTGGATGCTGGAAGAATAAAATAGTACAATTTTTACTGGTTAATAAGTGCACTAAATTTGAGCGCTGTAAAGCTCCAATCTCGAGCAAGTCTAAAAAATTTTCCGGTACACGGCAGTAAGAACTAACTTGAAATTTATAAATATTTATGTCCCCAGACTCGTCTAATCTTCCAGCCAGCGAAGAATCAAGAACGCGCAAAGAAAATCGAAAGTATCCTCTCGTCTCGCAAAACAAGGCCATAAATAAAACAAGATAATCACATTTATAACGCAAATAAATCGAGGTCCTCCTTCCTCCAACTCACCCGCCGGAGGGTCAGTTCCCCCGCTGCTGCTGTCTTCAAACGCACTGCGAGGATGGGACTAAAACGATTTCGCCGCAAGACGGAAAACTCTCCACATCCCAAACAGAATGCGAAGCCGTCTCTGTTTACCGAGGATGTCGTGAGGTGAACCGAAAATCGGGAAAAGCTACAAGACGTAGTGGAGGTGGGGGTGTAGCATTCCGAAAAATTCCTAGAACATTTCTAAGGAGCGGTTGGTGTGCGGTATACAGGAAGGATGAGATGAAAACGTTTCTAGCCCACATTCAGACAGGGATAGGATTGTTTTTGTTTGCGGCCGACAACCATGACAGTGTGGAAGATGATTTTCTAGGGGCACTTGCTTAACTTTTGATTTATGGCCGTCGGTTTAGTATCAATAAAGAAATGCTTAACATTTTATAGGTCTAATGCATCAAGGTTATCGAAAGGTTCTGCCGTTGTGGGTGGCAGTCGTGGGGAACCAATGTTCAAGTCTAACATGGGGGATGGGGGCTAGAAGACCATACGGGGTGAGATGGGCCACCGTTCGTTTGAGCATATACCTATTAAATCAATATAGTTTTTTACAAACTTGTTGAAAATGCTTCTAATATGCATCTTCATGAAAACCGTATCAAAATTCAATTATGTGTCTAAAATTATGATGGAAAAATGTAAAATTAGCTCAAAATCTTTAAAATATTAAAAAATATGCAGTCAAGAAAACAAGCATTGCATTCACTATACACTGGAGTTGCATTTTACGCGGTATTTTTACACGGTTTTTTTTTACGCAGATTTCGGAATTTACGCGGTTTTTTTACGTGGTTTTTTTACGTGGTTTTTTTTCCACGGGACGTATCACCCGCGTAAAAAGCGACTCCAGTTTATTGCATTTTACCGATCCGCTGGTTCTACAGCGAGCAATACACGTAACAGTTGCTAAAAGAACTTATGTTTCTATTTCACATGATTCCTGAATTTTCTAGCGAAAACCTGTCAAAACGTTAACTTTTACTAGGGTGCTCATTATACTGATGCAAAATTTTAAATTTTCGCTCCACAGTGCTCAAATGGTTCCAAATTGGGCCCTGATTAGCCTCCCAGAATTTGAACTCATTTAGTGAGAAACTGACTTGGCACAAACCAGTTGAAGTTTATATGGGAATTACTATGGAGAAACCATAATTTCGGTTCATATCTATCTCAAAATTCACCAGTTCACTCTACTTTAGAAAATGATAACTGAGCTTGTTGAAATTTTTTTCAGCTACAACTTTGTTGAGGACCACTTTTCGATCAAATGTAAGGAACAAAAATTATGAATGATTCATGTCACTGATGTCTTATGATTATGCTCAATCAACTGTTCAGCAGGCAACATTGCACAGTGGTTCCCCTTACTTTAAAAGTTGGCCAAAACCTCAAAATTGTTGCTAATAGGCAAAACACAGTTGAAATAGATGTTTTTTAGCTGTACGAAGAAAACTTGACAATCAAGACGTCACAAAAAGGAGTATAGTAGAACCAAAACCAATGCACAATGGTCTCAGCCGTATTTACCTAGGAAGACAAAAATGTTTGCGCCCAAACTGTCAGTTTTAGGTATATGGTTTCTTAGGGAAAGTTGCTTCATATTTTTTGTTCAATCTTTTTATGTTCGTAAAATTAGGGTGGTCCATAAAATTGGTGAATTAAAAATACAAACTATTTATTATTTGAGATAGACCAAAGCAGTGTTCTTAACAGTTGTAGAACATTAAATTCAAAGCAACTTTGTAGAAGACACAACGTTTTTATCTCTTATGGTTCATGAGTTATGATTTTTTAAACAAGCAGTTTAGGGTGGCCACTAAAATCGGTTTTCTTTGAATATCTTTTCAGGCGTTAATTTCTTGCAAAAACATTGTTCTGATTACACTTAGAACTTTTGATGACGCATAATTTTGGTCAAGCAACTAGGTTACTATCTTTTTTGATTAGAAAGTCAAAGGCTATTTTCTTCGAAAAAATTACTCTTTTCAATTGTCAATATCTCAGTGTTTACTCGGCTGTCGACAAAAGCAGACCATTCTCGATGTGTGCTACGCGATCGTCTGTTTTATCGGCAGCAACCATTGTGTGGTCCTCCTCATTGTTCTTCATCAGCAGTTCTTTCGGTCGATGCGTCGTCGACTTTGGAAAGCAACCGTTTTGTGATGAGTGTGTGAGTGCTGACCACGTTTTGCGTCCATTGCTGCAATGGACGCGCTCTGACCCTCGTTGGCGTACAACAATTTGCCATACAATGAAACCACTGGAAGCGGCTCCAGTTCTGATGGAGGAGGCTTTTTGGATAGCGGAAGATAAAGTGTTTATTGTGTTGTACCTTTTGACTATAGTTTTAAGATGTATTGTATAGTGACCAAGAATCCTCGGCTCTGTAAAGTTAATTCGGTTGAGCCTTATCAAATAAATTCATAAACCAATTGTCAATATCTCAGAATGGAGCAAACCGATTTTCAAACATTTAACTTCATTGGAAACATCGTTTTTTTCATTTTTGGTAAAAAAAACTGCAAGAGCTTTTTGTGTTTAAAGCATTTAATTAAATTTAAAAAAAGTAATATTTTTCAACAAAACTAGTCATAACTTTTCAAATAAAAGAGATAACAACTTAGCAAAAATACGCATCATAAAAAGTTCTTAAAGTATATGGCATAAAAATTTCACGAGAAATTAACGTATAAAAAGATATTTAAAGAATGCCGATTGTCTAGGGGCCACCCTAACCTGCTTGTTTAAAAAAAATCATAACTCATGATCCATAAGAGATAGATATATGGTGCGTGTGTGTATGTGTGTGCGTATTGGTGTGCTTTGAAAAAGGCATTGTGAAGCTTGCTACGGTATACACCGCAGATTTTATAACTAAGAAACAGATATTTTCAAAGAACACTTTACTTCTTATTCCTGATTTCAACATGTTTCTCAAAAAATCGCAAAACACATTAAAGCCTATCTGAAAGCTAACGTGTCCGTCATATGTTTTGCTTAGTCTAAATGCGAAAAAAGTATATTTTTGCTAATTTTTATATCAGAAACTGTCACTAAAAACACTAAGACACTTTTTTTGCCATCAATTTGACGTTAAATAAGCCGAGAAACATTTCTTCTGAAGCAACCAAGTTTATAAACACATTAGTTTTTGCTATATTTGAGCAAAACAGTAACAAGAAACATTACGATATCTTTCAAAAAATTTTGATATCTCTACACTATAACAGCCATAAAAAATATTTAATCAACAGAACTGCACAAATCATTCAGTTTAAGATACTCTTAACATGTAAAAATGATAAAAAATATTGAAATAAAAAAATATTAACTTTAATTTTTGAGGTTTAGGCCAGCCAGGAACCACTGTGCATTGGTGTTTATGGCGCGTAGAATAGAGGACAAAAATCATGGCTACTATGTCACACTGCAGAATACAGTGTTGCCCACAATACAGTTGCTTAATCTTGCCATAAGATTATCAATTAATAACTATTTAATTTGACGTTGGTTGAAAAATTATTTTCTACAAAGTTGTAGCTGATAAAAATTCCCATAAGAATAGCAATAGAGTTTTTAACAGTACAATATGTAAAAAGGCTAGAAGACAATGAACAAAAAGTTTTGTTTTCCCATAGTAATTTCCATATAAACTTCAAATGGTTTGTGCCAAGTCAGTTTCTTATCAAATGAGTTTAAACTTTTGGAGGCTAGTCAGGACCCGATTTGAAACTGTTTGAACACTGTGGAGCAACAATTTCAAATTTTGCATCAGTCTAGTGCTCATATTGCCTCGTATGGTTGTTGATCAGAGTAAAAACTGAAATTTTTCAAATATAATAATTTAATGAGCATATCATATTTTATTCTTATTTTGAACACTGTATATTATCTAACATGTTCCAAAGCATGAGCATGATCACAGCTATCATACATTTATTATTGGTTTTTATGTGTTATGAAGTGTTTTTCTTAGGGGGACCATATCAACCAGACCGTAAACAAACCGTCTCCCGTCGCAACGAAAACAACATGTGACGAGCAAGAAAGAGACACGCGAGAATAAGATACGAGCGAGAAACAAATGCAACACCCAAAAATCATGGCGTGCGCGAGGCTCGCGCTGATCTCATGTGCCTCATCTCATGTGCTACGATTAATGCTAGAACTGCAGAGCTCGAAGTTCTGGAAGGTGTAGGTAAGCGAAATACAGGCTGTTGAAACTTGATTGCTTTGACCGACATTTCATTTGCGTTTGCACAAACCATTCCTATTTTAGAGGAAAGGTAGCATATATTTACAGTGCTTAAATTCTTGAAATCCTCTAATAGCAAAAGTCATTAATTTGCTGGTCAATTACAATATTCTTTGTTTATCTTTTTCCAGTTCAACACTTAACTGCACTTGCATGACTAACATCTTTTGACACGTTATTTTTAAAATATAGAATGGACAAAAATTCTACAAAAAGTGTATCGGTATTGTTTAGTACGGGGATTTGACCGTTGCAAGACATTCACATATTTTCAACGTAAATTAACCATTCATCGGCAACACAACTGGTATACATTGCTAGATGGGATGTTACTTATTTTGAATAGATTATATCGGAATGCTACGAATGCAGTAATGTTATGATAATTCAATGGGCGGAAGAATTTTTTGC